TCACTACTTGTGTATGTCGGTGGCACAGCGGTAGGAGGCGCGTCAATCACGTATGTGGTTCGGGGTTCGATCCCCAGCCGATGCATTTCTTTACCTCTCTAAACCAGTAGTAAGACTGGTAAGGAGGGGAGGTTGGGTATGGGGCTAACAACTCCATCCCATAAAAATAAACACCACTGCTACAGAGACTTCAAACCACTAGGAATGTGAAGGAATAAAAAAATCACTACTTGAACCTTTTGATAAACTCATTCGGGTTTTCAAGTATTACAAATTCCCGGTCATTAAAAGTGGTTTAATAAGCAGTTGTTTCCAAGTAAAATGATGAAATATGCTTATGGTAAATTCTCTTTAGTAAAAATCAATATTGACCAGTGCTTGTCTTATATTGTAGTTCAGTTTTAAATAAGTAAACTTGAAATTTTCGGTAGATTTACAGGGAATTCAGAAGCCACGAAAATATCACAAAATTCCTCTCTTCTTGAATTCACACTTATGAATAAGAGTTAAGATTTGGATATTCCACAGTGAAAATGTTAGGCTGTCAAATGGTGTTTGAAAGCTTAGTCGATGAAATCCACAAATTAAGTACCCAAAAAACCCTTGAAAATGTTTTGGTTCACGAGGTCTATTGGATCTTGTCACCATGATAGATTAAACATGGAAATTGTTTAGTTATTGTCAACAAATGGTTGATTTTAAATTCTTTCCATTCATTAATTATAACAATGATAATGCTAACCATCATGTAGCTGGCAGTTTTTAAATCTAACCTCGAAACTTATGTGTCATAGAGTGTTGCTCAAACATTTCACAACAAGAATCCAATTATCTGAACCCTACTGTTTCTGTTTATCACACATGAAATAACATTTGTTTTAATAAGTGAAAATAGCCATGCTATAATGACATTTGTATATTACTACTTTCAGACTTTAATAATACTTACCCAGTAGTAGATTAAATTTTAGAAATAATTCATAACTTTTATTTGCATCTTAGTATTCACAGTTAACTTAACCTGAATTTTCTGGTCCCGATCCCTGACGACGTCATGCTTACTGCTAAGTATTCCCAAACTAGCACAAAGCACCTGTCTAATACTCCCTGATTTTCAGTAGTTCTGTAAGTGATGCTACCGACTGCTTAGTAGCACTCTATTCTGAAAAACTTGCAGAAATTAGAATTTATGAGTTATTGAATTCCCATCCTGTTGTTTAGTAATTTCGAGCTCGCTTAGCAACCTCAAGGTCACAGTTTCATAATGTAAAGTTAAGTAGTTATATATGTACTATGTCAGTAATAAGATCCTGTAGGGCCCATCAAACAAAATAGTTTAGTTTATCCAGCACCAAGCAGGGATAGTAAGATCAAATACAGAGGTCACAGTATTAGTGTGGGGTCAATCAGATTAACAGAGCGTAGAATCTTAGTGAAATCTACATTACTAGACCCTGATAAAAAAGAGAAATCTAGAAAAAAGCTCAGCTATAACACTACATACACTTACACACAATCACATAATAGGTTGGGACAAGAAGACAATCTTAAAATCCAACGTAATGGGGTGGAGAAGGAGAGATTAATAACTGCAGCTTCATTTATTGAATCAACTGGGAATACGTGCAATAGGAATGATGTAACACCTATCCCAGATATCTGAAAAATTCCACTACTCTTACAACAGGTGGGAGGGAAGAAAGAGGGTTATAAAAATCAAGTTCCAGTTGATACAACTGACACAGTTATGAACAGTAAAATGTGTTCGAAATATATATGGTTTAGTAAATGATACTGTTTCACTGTGTGATGTGACCAATAATCAATTGAATGCGGAATTACATGTGACCAAAGTGCCTAAGTTTTACTGATATATTAACACTAACATATTCCTCAAATCAAGTAATCTTAAACCTCTAACAAAATAAAACAGAAATTTACGACATAGTGGAAAATCTCTTGCGCCGAAGTACTTTTAATTTGTTTTGATAACTTCTCTGGAATAGTGAAGTAAATGCATAAACTCGAAATGAAAATAAAATCCTATCTTTTACTAAATCATAGTTTCGTCTGTTTGGTCTGTAATTCCCAGACAGTTTAGTTTATTGTCTTAAATTCTTTATTATTCATCTTTAAAAGTTGTTGTCCAATAATTATATATTGATTAGTCATATGATTCGCCCTGGTGTTTCTTCTACCTGTCAATAAATAGCCAGTAAATTTAAGAAAAACACCGTCGTGACATGGTATGCATGTCTCTTAATAAGGAAGAAAAAAATACTAATTGGAATACTATGATTGGGCGAAAATCTTATAACTGACTATAACTCCTCACTGAAAGAATTAAGATATATATATATATATATATATATATATAACAAGGAATTTAATTTAATTTGTACTGTGATAAGTGTTTTTACTTTAAGTTGTAGGTATAATGATGACTTCAGTTTCTATGAGCTTGGACATTCATGTCCAGACTTTCTGACATTACCTTAAAGATGTTTTTATGTGGAATAATTTATGATTGCTGACATTCTCTGAGATTACCTTGGATTGGCATACTGATGTTGATATAAAAGATGGTGATTGGGAGAGGCAAAATTTAGGGAACATTATTTAACATTATCGGTTTCCAGGCTGTAGGTGTTACGAACTTCCTGGAATAATTTGAGCGCCGAGTCAGATTGATTCATTATAAATTATTTAAATTAATCCCAGCGTGTTAAGAAAATCAAAACAAGATTTTTCTGAACGTTTCGCTGTGTAAGCCACAGCTTCTTCAGCAGATGTATTCGGATTTTTATTAATCATCATCATGACATGGTTTTAATGACTATAAAATTAAAACTAAAACAGAACCGCAGACAAATAAGCCCTCGAATCAGATATGACCTAGAGAAACTTAGGGACCCAAACATAGCAGAAATGTTTAAGGCAAATGTAGGGGGCAAGTTCGCTGCACTTACCTTGATTCACGACAATATCGATTCACTCACTGAAACCATTAAAACAGTGCTGCATGAATCAGCAACAGAAGTTCTGGGTAACAAAAGAAAGAAAATCAAACCATGGGTCACAGACGATATTTTAAACCTGTGTGATACAAGAAGAGAACTAAAAAAGAAGAAAGGACTTAATTCCCAGTACAGGGAAGAGTATAGAACAGTAGACAAAGAAATACGCTCCAAAATGAAGAGGGCAAAAGAGGGCTGGATTACTGAACAATGTAATATCATCGATAATAGCTTAAGGGGAGGCAACAATAAAAAAGCATTCGAAACACTGAGTAAGCTGACCAATACGAAACTGAATAGAGCAACCGTAATTGAGGATGGTAAAGGCACCCTCTTAACAGAAGAAGCAGATATCCTTAGAAGGTGGACAGAATACTGTAAGGGACTCTACAATCATAAAATAAGCCCTAATTATAGCCTAATAAACAATTCATGCTGGGACAATAGGGAGATCGGTGATTCACCCATACTAGAGTCAGAAGTAGAGGAAGCAATAAAATCACTTAAGGGAGATAAATCACCAGGAATTGACAACATACCGGCAGAACTAATTAAACATGGTGGACCACAAACAGTTAAATGGCTGAAAGCAGCCTGTCAAAAAATCTGGCAAGAAAAAAAATGGCCTAAAGAATGGACTCAGTCACTAATCATTCCAATATTTAAGAAAGGGGACGCAAAGCAGTGCGAGAATTACAGAACAATAAGTTTAATCAGCCACCCAAGTAAAGTCATGCTGAAAGTAATATTGAACAGACTCAAAAAGAAAGTAGAGGAAATACTCTCAGAAGAACAGGCCGGATTCAGGCCGGGCAGAAGCACTGCTGAACAAATTTTTAACATAAGGGTATTAAACGAAAAATGTCTACAACACCAAAAAATGCTAGTACACAACTTTATCGATTTTAAGAAGGCCTTTGACCGTGTGTGGCACGAAGGCTTATGGCAAGTCATGAATAACTACAATATAGATAAAAACATAATTGAGGTTATTAAGTCTTTATATAACAAATCTAGTAGTGCAGTATCTCTAAATAATCAAACTGGCGAGTTCTTCAGAACAACTATAGGAGTACGCCAAGGGTGCATTCTCTCACCAGTCCTCTTTAATTTATTCCTCGAACATATTATGACACAAACCCTACATGACTTTACACCGACACCTAGTATAAACGGAAGACCAATTTCCAACCTCAGATTTGCTGATGATATAGCCCTCATTGGGGAAAACATTGATCAAGTTCAGGACCTCACCTCAAGACTTGATGTTGCAACCAAATCTGTGGGCATGGAAATCAGCACAGAAAAAAGCAAAATACTCATTAACGGAGGAAACAACTCAGATAGATGTATCAGACTTGATGGACATGTATTAGAAGAGGTTGAGACTTTCAAATACCTTGGGTCTACCCTAACAAAAGATGGAAGGTCCACTAAGGAAATAAAAATTCGACTAAACCTAGCCTCTGCCACCATGTCCAAGTTAGGGAAAATATGGAAGAGCAACATCAGCGTCTCAGCAAAAATGAAACTCTACTCGTCACTGGTCCTCTCTGTATTCCTATATGGATGTGAGAGCTGGACCCTGAATGCAGAGACAGAAAGAAGAATACAAGCCTTCGAAAACAAAAGCTATAGAGGGATCCTAGGAATAAGTTACCTTGAAAGGAAAACTAATAAATATGTCTTACACCAGGTCCATAGACTGGCAGGAAAACAGGAACCACTCCTTTCAATCGTAAAGAAACGGAAACTACAATGGTTCGGCCACACGGTAAGACATGACACATTGTCCAAAACGGTTCTACAAGGCACAGTAGGAGGAGCACGAAAGAGAGGTCGACCGAATAAGAGCTGGCTTGACAACATAAAAGAGTGGACTGAAATGCCCTTGGATACGCTACAGAAAATAGCATTAAACCGAGAAGAATGGCGAAGACTGATAGCGCGAACTGTCATAGCACCCCCACGACGAAAGTCAAGGGACTGATGATGATGATGATGATGATGATGATGATGATGATGATGATGATGATGATGATGATGATGATGATGATGATGATGATGATGATGATGATGATGATGATGATGATGATGATGATGATGATGATGATGATGATGATGATGATGATGATGATGATGATGATGATGATGATGATGATGATGATGATGATGATGATGATGATGATGATGATGATGATGATGATGATGATGATGATGATGATGATGATGATGATGATGATGATGATGATGATGATGATGATGATGATGATGATGATGATGATGATGATGATGATGATGATGATGATGATGATGATGATGATGATGATGATGATGATGATGATGATGATGATGATGATGATGATGATGATGATGATGATGATGATGATCAATATATATAGGCAAAAATTTAACATACATTAAAGTCAGTTATTTAACATTTCTGGTCATGCACCTTCCCTAAACCCCAAAAGTACCGTTTGGTTTTACTTTATGCTCACTGGTAAATCGCAGTGTTTGCGTTTGTAGTGGTAGGTGATTCCCTAGAATTATTAGCCACAGCATTAATCACCAACCAAACATTGGATGCCGACCATCACTGTTTAAGTCAACTTGTTTAACTGAAGGCTTACAGTCCACGCCATTCGGCACGCCGTTGTGTTACGTTCGTTCGTTCGTTAGCTAGTGCACGATGCCTAGTTAGTTAAGCAATCATCTCGCACTCCAATTTGGTCCCGAAATATACTTCGTAATTTAGACGATGAATTCTGGTGTTTTGTTTCGCCTTTGGTCTTCGCGGAACGAATACTATAGAAGGGGTGGGTATTAGATCTTGCGTTAGTATACTTCGTACTATCCATTAACGTAAACACCCTCAGCCTCTATAGATTTATTGAGGAAAGTAAAGAACTAATAGGATTTACGCGTATGCTATTGGAGTCAGTTTGAGTGCGCATCAAGTGGTGCAATTCGATCATTCATTTTATTAAAGCTAATGTAATACCCTAGATTGTCTTATCTGGAAATAACAACCTGTTCTATTTCTTCTAATGTGCTACATTTAGAAGTGGTAAGAGAAGACCAAAGGGGCGTCCAGGGTAATAATTAAAAACGGACAGTCGCCTATCACTAATTGGCATGATAACTGCGTAAAATCTATGGTGACTTTAGTGAAATGATGACCTGTTTAGCAGATGAGTCTTGTAACCTAACTAGTTGTTGGTTATTCATTTTGTTTCACGGTTCCGTCTTCTAATATTTTAGTAGAACTGACTTGGTCATTTTCCTCTGAACATACTGCTTGAACATACAGCAGATAGGCTTAAGTGTGAATTAGGTCTTAAATAAACGTACCGAAAGATAATCAAATTTTTATTATAGAGTTATCTACTGCTTTTCATTTTAAGGTGGTTCAGTGTTAAAGTTACCAAGAATTTAGGTTTATGCAGAGAGGATGGTTTTGAAAGTAGATTTCATCACCATCCGACAGCATTTATCGAACCAGTGTAAACTAGAGAACTCTAGACAAATGTTTCCTCGCAGTTTGTGATTAATCAATACCTCATATTGACCGTATTCGACAAAATCAAATCTACGACTATTTGTTTAAATTAATATGCATTTCCTATTGATTGATTATTAATGAACATATAAGTCAGCGAAGAGACCTCTTTTCGTAACTTCACTTCAGGAACGTACAGTTATTTAAGGGGGTATATATATATATAACATTAATTAGCATCAGAGGTCAGAGATTGTTGTCAGTTAGTAACAAAGTGAATCAAAATGTATGAGTAGTAACAATATTTGAAAGATTGAGAATGATCTTACGTAACTAGGAGGGTTGATAATAATTAATTAAGTGATGAATAATCCCTTGGAAAGAACTGATAAGAAACAAGAGGGCAAATGACTGAAGATAACTTAGAAAACATAATGAATAATGGAGTTTATAATACAGTTATTCAAAAGTATATTATTATTTATTTTATTTCTATGCGTTCGCAGTGGAACATAGGGCTTCACATCGAAGCTTTGAAGTCTCGGTAGCAGTGGTGTTTATTTATACGGGATGGGGTTGCTAGCCCCATGCCCCTCCTTTCCTCTCTATCAGTTTAATTACTGGATTAGCGAGAGAGGTTTGGGAGTGCGTCTGCCGGGGATTGAACCCCGAACCACATACGCGATTTGCGTGCCTCCTACCACTGTGCCACCGATGCACTACTATTAAGGAGTAGCTCTATAATAAACTCTATGGAGTCCTTCCTGTTATTCATTGTGTTTTTCAAGTTACTTCCAGTCATTTGTTCTCTTGTTTCTTATTAGTTACTTCCAAGGGATTATTCATCAATTTCATACATTTATTCCCCTTAATGAATTTGAATAAAGCAAGAACTGTAGTTTTGCAGAATAAAGTGGTACCATCATTTATGTCGTTGGCTTCTCATCAGCTACTCACAGTCCAAATTCATTATTAAATATATCTACGGAAACAATTTTAACATACTTGCACAGAGTTCATTTTAAACAAAAATCAATCTATCAATATATGCATACACTAATAATATATATATACATGTAATATTAAACACTATTCTGAACAATAATGATCATACACAATGGAAACTTTCGGCATTACGTAATCAGAAGAAAGAGAGATGAAAATATACAGTTACCAGGTAAGGCAAGGAAAGACAAATAACCGCTTCTTCCTGAAGGCATAAATCAGGTTTCAGGAGCTTGATGCAGATGGCTTCAGCAAACTTGAAGAGAACTGAACTCTTTTGCCCATTCATAATTTTGAATGATCTTGCGACGTTGACCTCATGACCCGTGTCAAGGACATGCCTGGCGATGGCATTGTCTAAAGCATTTGTTCCCTTTAGACACAGGGTTTTGATATGTGTTCAGAAAATCGTAGATATGCTCTTCTTTCTGTTCTTCAAATGTATCTGCTCACTCAGATACATGTAAATTTGTACATACAGTTGGAGTTAACATGAGAAGGGTATCTTTCGATTTTCGATTGCACCAAAGAGCAAGTTGTTCGATAGACGGGAACGAGCTTAGCTGCAGGTTAGGCTATGGCTAGGGACATACCCAGCCTTCTGTTGATCATCGCTGCAATGTTTTCACCTTTATAATCAAGCTGAAAAAAGATTGGCTTTTTACCCACTGTGACTTGTTTTACATCTGAGACTTCAGATCTTCCATACTTGTTGATGAACTTTGGAGGGTACCCATTGCTCTTCAATGTCTTTTCAAGAAACTCAAATTCTTCCTCTAGTTTCTCTATAGAGCATATTCTCCTCGCTCTATAGTACAGAGTCTTGACTAGACCACGTTTAAAGCTATTTGGACAAAAGCTATTAAAATGTAAGTATTGTCCTTTCCATGTGGGCTTTCGATAAATTGACTTCTGAAGACTACCGTCTCCTAGGCGTTGCATGGCAATGTCGAGGAAGTGGAACTTTTTTTAATTTTCATGTTCCATAGTAAACTCAATAGTGGTATGTGCGTCACTGAATAATCTGAGTAAGTGTGAAGCATGACTTTGATTGTTGTACACTACAAAAGTGTCATCGACATATTGACAGTAGGAAGTTGTTTCGTCGATTGCATGCTTCAACTTTGTTTTTTTTAAGGTTGGACATGAATATATCTGCTAAAACAGGGCTAAGTGGACGGCCCATAGCTACATCATCTATTTGGAGGTAAAGAATGTTGTCAAATTGGAATTGCACATCCATGGTAGATATACTTAATAATGACTTTGGCCTGTAAAGAGCTGATGAGAAAGCAAAGAAATAAATAATGATACCACTTTATTCCGTAAAAACTGTAGTTCTTGCTTTATTCAGATTATTCACCACTTGTCTAATTATTATCAACCCTCCTAGTTATTCAAGAAGAAAATCTTTGCGTTCGCTTCAGCAAGCTTGACGGACAAACGAAGAAACTTGTTCAGTCCCTTTACCGTCGAACGATCCTTGCTTCTCTTTAAATCACGGAATATACACATTGGGTCATAGGAGTTAATAAAAAGACAATTGCAGCGAAGAAAATTTTCTTTTCGACGAAGTCATCATCTAGGCTGTACATTCGTGTATTTATATCAAATGGATAGGAAAGTTCCAGAATAATTTCTGGTTAGGGGTCAAATTAATAAAAAATTACAATTAGGAATTAAAATGACATAACAAACAGGGGGGATGGGTAAAACTCGAACAAAGTAGCATTATAATAACTAAGAAGATTGACATTGTGCAATTGGGGGTTAGAAATGTAGAAATAACAAAATATACAGGATGTTTGGATAAAAAACTAATATGATGATTAATTGTTGATGCAATCAGGGATTAAATATGTAGAAATAGTAAAATGACAAAATAAACAGGAAGAGTGGGTATGAAAATATGGTAGTGTAAACAGGGTTTAAGAAAACTTAAAATAACATGAATAAACAGGAAGTTTAGATAAGAAAGGTGATGAGATTGTCATTACTAAAAAAATTTTACCTGTTTATGATGGCCATGGTAAGGAGAGGGGTTGGACGTAATTCTTTTGGATACAAAGTGTGGGTTTGAGCTTTTGGATAGCTAGCGCCTCAGCTATGCCCAGATGTCTTGATTTGATTCCCTTTGATAGGTTTGATTGAATCTTGTATATTACTTTGAAGGATTTTTCGAAAGGCGCTGAAGAAGAACTGCGTAATCTTCGAAAAACCTTGATGGAAAACGGTTTCCCGCCCAGGTTCATAGACAGAAATCTCAAATCTAAGACTAAGACTTCAGAACAAGTCCAATCCGTTCCAAAGAAAACACTTCTGCTTAATCTAGAATTCAAAGGTGATATCGAAGCAGAAATCCTTCGCAAACGTCTCTGCAAATCTCTAAGGAAAACATACTTCGCCGCGAGCCTACGACTGACGTTTTCTTGCAAGAAACTGTTCAGCCAGAACGTGAAAGACAAGCCGTCGCATTGGGCCACCTCAACGTGCATATACCAGTTTACTTGCTCTTGTGGAGCTGAGTACATCGGCCGTACCATGCGCCAACTTGAAAAACGCGCTCGCGAACACTACCCAGCCTGGCTAGTAAAAGGAGACCGAAAACGTGTATACAGTTCAGTCACAGAACATCTGGTCAACTCAGGACATTCAGCGCCTTTCGAAAAATCCTTCAAAGTAATATACAAGATTCAATCAAACCTATCAAAGGGAATCAAATCAAGACATCTGGGCATAGCTGAGGCGCTAGCTATCCAAAAGCTCAAACCCACACTTTGTATCCAAAAGAATTACGTCCAACCCCTCTCCTTACCATGGCCATCATAAACAGGTAAAATTTTTTTAGTAATGACAATCTCATCACCTTTCTTATCTAAACTTCCTGTTTATTCA